AACTTAACACAGTTATGGATAGATTAGTAGGAAAATATCAATGGCTGCTGTAGTATGTGCAAAATGAGTCTTTACATGGTTAGTTCAGAAGAAGAAAGAAAATAGGAACTATTGAGTATACAAAAGGCAACAAGAGCACCCCAAAGTCATTTTTCTGCCCTTTGATTATTTATTCATTCAACAAGTACTCACTGAAGATGTATTCCATGTAAGAACGCTGTAAGAGTGAAAAGGAAGAGTCCATATTCTCAAAGTTTCTTTGAGAATAGGTGTGACTGGCATAAAAAGTAACTCAGCATACAAGTTCAATGTAGTGTTATAAATGCTAACACAAGCTGGGCATGGTGGCACATGCCTGTAATCCCAGCACTTGGGAGGCTGAGGCAGGAGGATTGCTGCAAGTTCTAGGCCAACCGGGGCTACAAAGTGAGTTCAAGGCCATCGTGAACTACAGAATGAGACCTTGTCTCAAAAAAACAAAACATACATGCTAACACAGGCAAGGGCTGAAGGGTAGCTTGATGGTAGAGGACTTGCCTAGGATGTGAGACCCTGGGCTTGAGCATCAGCACAGGAAAATAATAATAATAATAATAATAAGTATTATTAACAATAATACAAATAAGTATAAGAACAAGCATTTCCCCAACCACACTTGGTGAGGCAAAGGAGAGCAGAGAAACCTTCTGGAAGAGCAACTCTAACTGGTGTCACTAGTGATCACTGTATCTTAGAAAACCAGAAGCAGGGCTTCTGGGGCTCACCTGTAATCTCAGCACTTTGGGAGGCTGAGGCAGGAGGATCACAGCTTCAAGCCCGGCCTGGGCAATGTAGTGACTCAATCTCAATAATAAAAATTAAAAAGGGTTGAGACGTGCAGATGTAGCTTAGTGGAAAAGCTCTATGTTCAATCCCTAGAGCTAAAGGACAAAAGGAGAACTTTGACCTGAGTAAAGGTATACGTACCCAGAAAAATGTCTGGTGTCAAAAGGGCGTCGTACCAACAAAGGACATTTCCAAATTTAGTCAACTAGGGACACTGAGTCAGGCCAAATTAAAGCAGGCACCAAACTTCATCATTCCAAGAAGCTGAGTACTGTCTCTTATCTACTAATCTAAAATTAAATTTCCCGTTTAGCTTTGACATAGGGACTATTTATAGACATCCTAGAAAAAAGAAGAAAAGCAAAAGGCTTAAACCTAGGTCACGGCTCCTAACATCACAAGCAGTGAGAAGAAAGCGACATCTAATGGCTGGTTTACTTCAAAACAGCCCCAGTGCCCCCCATTATAACTTAAGAGATGAGAAAAGAGATTTTGCTGCAAACCATCAAAGACAGCCTCAAAAGTCATGCTAAAAAGTCAAAAAATGTCATGCGGCACTCTGGAGAAATATTTCAACGCCTTCAAACTAAAGTGCTTGGTGAGGAAGCATTCCAAAGACTTCCAAAGACTAACCATACCCAGATTAAATGCTGTTAGCCCCGTCATAAGATTTTTTTTTTACTCTTGGGGGAAAAAAAATAAACATTTCCGAGGCCCGGGCATGTGCCAGACACTGTTTTAAGTGCCTCACCCATTAACTCATTTAAAGATACTTTTTCACAGCCCACAGTATTTATGCAAATGAATAAACAATAAATTCTATTAAAATTCCTAAGGCTAAACAAGAAATTAACTAATGTGAAAAGACGAGAATGTTGCATTCATTCAGTTACTTCTTAGAATAGAACTGCAGAGAAAGTTGAGAGGTTGTACTTTGTTTTGTTCCTCTGGAGCTGCTGAAAAGTCTATTGCATGAGAGGAAATACAGCATTTTCACTTCTTTCTTAATGGTATCTTACTCTTTCCTGTCCTTCTTATCTGTAAAAAGTATTTCTTCCAAACTTCTTTATTCCATTACCGAACTTTGGTGCTACTGTCTAGGGTTAATTGGCAAACTCTTGAGGATGAAGTCTTTCCAGCATTGCCCTCCAGTTCTGCAAAGTTACCAGCTGAATGTTGCTTCTAGTTTAAGCTTATAGGGTCAAAGATCCAGGCCAGTACCAGGAATGGGAATCTGAATGGCAACATGTGTTTCTTCTCTAGCAAATATCTTCCAACAAATTTAAATTATAAACCTTAATCTGTATTGTCTACCACAAGCCAATTTTTTAATGTTAGGTGTTAATCATCTTAACCAGTTAAATGTTAACCAGTATGAATAACTCCTAAACTTAAATGTATTTTTATGTCTTATAAAACTCATAGAAATCATATTTGCTCCCCCAGTTTTAACAGTCAATGAATTATATGTGGTCTTTTGTCTTTTTGTCATTTTTGTTATTGTAACAGTACATATTTGTGGGGCAGTATAATAATTGTATAGGTGTATGTAATACATAATGGAAAATTAAGGTAGTTAGCTTTTCCATCTCCTTAAGCAATTTTACTTTCCATTTATTTTAACTGGTACACAAAAACATTCAAAATGAACATAATTACAAAATGTACATATGATGTATACATTGTGTAATGTTTTAACTGGATTAATGCTGTCTCCTCAAACACTTGTCACTTCTGTACAGTGACAACATTCAAAATCCCTTCTTCTAGCTTTCTGAAATGCATAGTACATAATTGTTACTGCCAGTCACCCTGATGTGCGGTCGCACGCCGGAGTGCCTACAGTGTAACTGTTTTGATAAGAAACATTCCTCAACTAATCACAGACATTAATTTATCAGTTATGGTCTCGCACTTCATTTTAACACATCTTTGGCCGTCATGTACACCCTCTTCGTGCCCTTGAATACTGGCAGGGTACAGACAAAGAGTTCCCCCGCCTTTGGAGTATCGGGTTGTTATACACAAAAGCCTTCTCTTCTTTTCTGACTGTAAAAGTCAGAGTAGAAAAGTGTAGACGACATAATTAGCAGAATGCATAAAACTCTTGGCTGATACTTTTCCAGTCAAGAAGAAGCTCTTTTAGGGAACAATTTCTACATGGTCCAATTGTCTTTCCTTAAAATTTGAATATGTTAGAATAAGCTACGTTACATGCATGTACCAATATACCAAAATGAATCTTACTACTCTCTACTGCCAATATGCATTTTTTTAAAAATACACCATCACATTTTTAAATGTTGTGAAATGATAGGAAAACACTCAAGGGTAAAGGGCAACTGGGATGTGGGAAAAGACAAGGGAAAGAAGGAGAAATTTTGTATGTATATGCAGGGTAGTTAACACAGTTGTTCTACTGTCTTCTATTTCTATGCTGAAAGAAACTGTCAATGAGTCCTTGATTGATCAATATTGCATGTCTATATCTGTTTTCATGAGAAACCACTTTGAAGATATCAATGTGTAATACAACAAGCATTGTTAATTTCCTACCACTTTGTTTGTAACTCTGTATTGTCTATACTGTTCTTTTGCTATTTTTTAAAGGTTGTCTGTCTGTTAATGTTTTCCTCCTTTTATTTTTAAAATATAAATAAATAAATAAATAAATAAATAAATAAATAAATAAATAATACACCATCACCTATAGATACATATAACCAGGGATATTTTGGAAAGAAAATTTTGTCGATGACCAGTCCTAATCATGTTTTGTTGTTTCAACTATTCTTGGTAAATCAACATGGTAATAAGCTAAATCTTTAAGTTTAAATTTTTTTAAGTTTTTTGTACACAGTGCATGAGGCAGATTCTGTATTAACATTATCCACTAACTAATCCTGTAATCTCCAGCTCCTTTCAAATCTCTCAGAGGAGCTGATCATTCTCTCCTTCTCAGAACATAAAAAGCACACATTTCAAACACAAAACTCAGAACAAGCATAGAGAATTCATCAGTCTCCTGCTGAACGAACAAATCCCCTGGCCCATTTAATGTATTGGTGACTTCCAGAGGCAGGGACAGTGAGAATTTCGTATTATTATTTCTCTCAAAGAGGTAGAACTGTAAAAGAAAATCTATCCCTTTTCTCATTCCATTGTTAGAAAAATGAAGTGTTTCAGCAAAGTTTCTGATTCTGGGAAGAAATGTGTTACTGATTAAAGAAAACTAAAAACGGAAAGATGAACCCCACAAAGTTCTTCTGTCCCCTATAATCCTCAAACTCCTTCACAGCCCAGGCCCTGGAATGTGATTCCCAGTTTCTCCCCAAAGATCTTCCTAAACTTTCACAGGAATATTCACCTTCTAACATCACCCCTGCCTTACTCCAGCGCATAAGAGGGTCTGGCACACATTAGGTCCTAAATAAATAAAAATCTCCATCAATAAATGTCTCTTAAATTAATTAAATGAATTAACTAGTTAAGTACAGCTTGGACATACTTGGAAACTTATTTCCAACATGTCCATAGGTCAGTTCCTCTGGCTACAGTCAGCCTGTGAATACACTAATTTTGATTTCACAGTTGTATTTCTTGAGATGTGCTGGAGAGACGATAATGTTAAACCAAACTAACAACTGAGCCAGGCCTTGGGACAGGGCAATGGTGAGTGACAGCGGCCAAGATATTTCTCTCAAAACACCGGCTAGTGAGGTCAGAAGAGACTTAAACAAGGCAGTAATTCTCCCGCTCATTCAGCGCCTTGGTTTTCATATCTGTGAAACAAAATCCTCAGTCTAGACAACTCCTGAAACACTGACATGAACTCTGCCACTACGTTTAGGCTGAAACGAGAAGTGGCTGCAGAAGCCAGCGAGTTTTATGGTGGAGTCAAGAGGGAAATCTAATTCACCGAAAATTCAGAGTGGAGAATGTTTCTCATGAGAAAAGAATGAGAGACTAATTCCCAAGGATTTTCTCTTCACACGGCATGCCACAGAGAAAGGAAGATAAATGGAGAAATGTAGCCGTAGTTCCGCATGTGAGAAAAAAAAGATAGGGAATTTTTAGTGACTGTATAGTGGCACGTTCAGATAAGCGATACTTTTCAAACGATCTGTGCTAAGCAACCGTTTTGCTTATTTTATTTCCAGCCTTGCAGCAAACTGATCTCTGATCTCTGTGAAGGTAGAGAGGCTCTGTGACACTGCGTTCTTCATGTACAAAAAAACAGTTATCTTCAACGCAGTGTTGTTCAGCAGTGGCCTGGTACATTTTGAAGGAAATTTCGCAGAACTGCATTAACAATGAACACACTGTGAAGGGCCTGCTTGCAATCTAATGAGCTACGCCTGCTGTAGTTTTATGGATGCTGGCAGAAGCCATGAAATTCCTGGATCACAGACAAAGGAGAGGTTATTAGGCGCGACAACAGGAGTAACCAGAGTAGCAGCGTTTGAGCCCCAAATCCACAAGGAGAGGCGAAGAATACCAGGCGGTGCTGCGTTCAATTGAGCTGAGGTCTAGCAGGACGAAGTTGACTATTTCATCACTGGAAATAAGCATGCCTGCCTGATGCACTAAGCACGCTTGCTCTTCACCCTAGCGGGAGACACTGCCTCTCTCCAGCAAGGGTGTGTGCTTCCTATCGCTGCTGTAACAAACCACCACAAGCTTAGCGGCTTGACCAATACAAATGTATTACATTGAAGTTCTAGAGGTTAGAAGTCCAAACTGAACTGATTGCCTCAACATCAAGGCACAGGTAGAGCTGCATCCCTCTGGAGCATCTAGAGGAGTATCCATTCCCTTGACTTTTCCAGGAAGATGCACACATGCACATA